CCCCCCACCCAAAAGCCTGTGGCTTGCTCAACACCCCAACCCTTCACCTGACCCCAACACTTCCTAGCCTGAAGCCCCATACCTGAGCCAGCATCTCCTTCTCCACCTCCTCCTGCATCCAAATTCTCTCCCAGACCTTGCACCTCTCACCCCTTCTCACACCCAAATCCCTCATTCCCACCCCAGAGCCCGTACCTCCTCTCTCAACCCAGTGAGGGTGTATAAGGGCTGGGGATAGTAAGTGGAGGGGAGCAGAGAGAGTGAAGCCTCAAGAAAGGAGTGGAGTCCTAGGAAAGGAATAGGGTAGATCTTGGCTTGTCCTGACATTTAAAAAGCGATCTTGGGTGTAAAAAGGTTGGAGACCACTTTACATTATTAGGTTCCTATTTCTTTCCCTTCATTGTGTAAGGAGCCTAGGCGTCTAACTTGGCCTTGTGACTTGCAGTGTTGTTGCTGGATTTTCAAGGCACCAAAATGTTAATACTGTGATGCTCAGTGTTATGATGCTTAAGTCCTTTAAAGGATCCAATCCTTCCTTCCTTTTCCCCACACATGCATCTCTGAAGAGGGTTGCCAGGTAACTGGTATTCTACTGGACAGTCCCTTTTTTGCACCCTCTGTCTGGTAAAAAAATTCAGAAAATACCAGATGTCCGGTATTTTCAGTTTTTCCGGCTGGGCGCCAGATGGAAGCCTGGCAGGGACGGGGGGAGTGGCTGGCAGACGGGGCTGCGATCAACTCTGGGAGCCTCTGGTTCCGTGCAGAAGCCAGGTGGGGGTGAGGGCAGTGGCTGGGAGGCAAGGCGCAGTCGGCGCTGGGAGCCCTCAGCTGATTGCATCTGAGGAGGAGTGATGCCTTGGGGAGGAGGAGAAGCCCTGTCCCTGCTCCTGAGCACTGTTCAAGTGCGTTGTGGTGCTGTAGTCCAGGAGAGAATCCCACAGGTGCCTTGTAGTTGTGTTTAGGTGCCTTCCATGGGCTCTCAGCCAAAACTGACGGGGGGTGGAATTTCTGCTTCTTCCCACTGAGACACTCAAAGACCTGGCTATGGGGGAAGTCACCTTCCTACCCATGATCAACTCTCTCCCCCTCCGCCCCCACCCCGCCATTGTGTTGCCCTGGGGTCTGCCTCTCTCTGCTTTGGATAGCAGGCAGCTGCTTTGCAGAGCAGGTTCTGCTGCCTCCCACTTTGTTCCCAGCTTGGTCATGGGTAATCTATGGACTGATGAACGGAATAGATTGAGTGCTGATTCAGTAATAAGTGAAGTTTGTGTTGTTGGTTTTTTTAATATACCTTTTACTTGTCTGAGAGTCAAAGAAGAGTTTTTGAAAAATAAGAAATTGATAAAAGCTGCCCAATCTAATGCAAAATATATGATGTAGGCTGTAGACTGTTGATTGTTTATAATAAAGTTAAGTATTAAACATAGGATGTGTGTTTGATGTAAGTGGGTTTTTTTTTTTTTGCTTGACAAATTTTTAGCCCATGTGTTCGGTATTTTTGGGAGACCATCTGGCAACCATATCTCCGAGGCACTGATCCATTATATGACTGTTCAGTGTTTGCACTGCAGCATATTAGATACAAGATTATATCAATTCTGTGTTTAGTAATATCCAAATATCTAAATCTGAATGTATTTGTTTCCTCCTCGACCTTGTTAAAAGGTGGAAATCAAGAAAGACCGGAAGCTTTTATAAACAATATTAAAAAATCCTGATCAGAGACTACACTGTACCAAATGTGCATCTCCTTCCCCTGAATCCCCCAACAAGAGCTCTGGTAGGGTAACTATAAAAGGCACAAGGATATAGCAATCATCATAAATAACAAGTAAGTTCTGCCATTCCCTACTAGGCATAGTTTGCAGCCCAAACATAATGGTTTTCCTTAATAGTTGCTGCTTTGGCAGATCTCTTTCAAACTAGACTACAGAGAAACATGATCCATATTGTATCCACGAGTCACTGACTCATACGGTCAAATTTCTGGAAAAAGAGAACAGCAGTTCAAAACACACAGAGGCTAAATATATGCTTTTGATTTATCAAGCTACTTTGGTCCTTTATCATGTTGACTAATCAACAGCCAGTGTTTTCCACAGAGCATATTTGGAGGTAGAGGAATTCAGGCCCAGTTCTATCTGTCTGCCCCTGGGGCTGGGGGACTAGAGCATTGCACCCTACAGTGCCCAGGTGAATGCCCTATCCACTAAGCCACTCCAGGACTCACCCCACCTCCCCAACCTTCAGGGTGCCCCTTATCCTAACTAACCCACCAGCGGCTAAGAACAGGTGCTCTGAGGGAGCTGCCAGTCAATTAACTCTGTCAGCAATGTCATTA